TCTGGTTCAGTTCCAAGTGGATAGACACTGGAGAAAGACACTGGAGACATGGAGGCTGATTGGAAAGATGGTTTAATGGTGAAGCAGAACCACCAAGCACATGTGATTCTGGGTAGCTGACCACATGGAGTGGAGAGTGAGGGTTATTTATACCCTCTCCTGGGCCTTGCCTTTGAGCTTCCTGTTCCTGTGGCAAGGGCATGTATTCTATTGGATGTAGTCAGACTCCCATGGGCCGCGTAGATACTCCTATTATAACCTGGAGGGTCATGTCTTAATCCCATCACCTTGGAACTGAAGGTCTTTTGTTTTGTAGATGGGATGACCCAGTCCTTCACAATAGGCACCAAATATCTGCTGGGGTCAAGGAGCTAAGGTTCTGATCTGCTGCCTCTCTTAAGATTTCTATTTGTCTTTTAGGGGAAATATAATATTCTGCCTTTTTAATATTTCCTAAAATATTTCATCCTTCTAGGAAAGGGGTGGGTGTTAGCTTTCTACACAAGTAACACAAACTGGATAGATACTGTCATTTTTTATTAGATATTGTAGCTTCTAACTCTCTTTTGGGATTTCAACTATTTTTTTCAACTCAGAAGTATTTATTTTCGTTGTAAACAATAAACTTTGCATTTGGGTGACTGGATGGAGTCATAAATAAAGAAATTTGGCAGGCTGTATTTGGAACCCTTTTAGCATCTACTTTAGCAACTCTACTGCAGAACAACAAAAAGGCAGCCCCAAATCATCCAGTTAATTGAACCATGGAGGAAGATAAAACATTAAGCCTTAAAGGGACTACAAGCCAGAGCCAAAACTATGCTAGAAACACAGCACTGTGTGAGATGGTTTAAATCAGAAACTAGTTCCTAGCTAGTTTCTTCTCACTAGGCCAGGGGATGGCAACACTCAAAGAGCCACAAGGATCCTAACCGGAACTCCCCTGTTCGTTTCTGGAGCTGACCAAAAGTCCGGTTTCCCCACCATAAAGTCTCCTCCTAGTGCGGTGTCCTTTTTCCTCTACCTGTCCTAACTGAAAGCCCTATCAATTGTGGAGCTGACTGGAAAACCCATCCCTTGCCATAGAGTCTCCTCCTGGCAGACTCTGCTTCCCCTCCCGCCTAACAGGAAACTCTTCTCAAAATTGTAGTGCCGACTGGTGACAAGGGAGCCGCAGCAGAGGGATGAAAGAGCCACATGCGGCGCCAGAGCCACAGGTTGCTGACCTCTGTATTAAGCCATGGGAGAATGTATGAGAAGGCAAGGGATAAAGCTTCAGGGAGCAACAGGCCAATTTAATTCTGCATATTAGACACTCAATGTGAATACAGGTAGATCTCAACAGCAAAGAGAAACATCGGCACTAGACCAGAAATATTAACTTTTTAGACTTATTTTCAGCTTCAAAAGGTAGCTTCCATATTAGCTGTTTCTTCCAGTGAGGATATCCTTTGTTCATTCATTTTTTAATGAAAACCCAGACAAGATCACTAAAATTGTTTGGTCTTTTTTTTAAAAAAAAAATCTAATTTGTGCTTAAATACAATTTCACCTGTTCCAAGTGAATGATCAAAAATGCTGCTGGTTCCTCCCCCACTTTGCTTCTGGCCCCAGAATTAGTTATTTCTGCTTGTCATTACTTCTTGTCAACTAATTAAAAGGCAGCTAATGACCAGATAAAGTACCAGGAAATGGCTAATTAAAGAAAGCAAATGAGAATCTCAATTAAATATTTTAATCAAGGAGGGGGGGGGGGTAGAGGATAATTCTTAATTACATGGTAGAAAGGCAGAAACAGAAAGACCACTTCTGAGTAAATGTACATTAACATTACCGAACTACTAAAGGGACTACATTCCATACTGTAAAGTGTACTTCCATCGCGAAATGGAGAAACAGAAATGGGGAAAAAATGGGATTAAGCAAGAATCACTCACAAATTAGCTATTTTTTCCCATCGCTAACACGGTAAATTAAAGTGAATGGCCAATTTTTTGCATCGAAGGCTTTTTTTTCTTGGCTAGTGAAGAAGAATATTAACTAATGTGTGTTCTTAAGTTATAGTAAGTAACTACATAAATTTTAAAATAATGCTACGGGTTTTCTTTTAAAAAAGAAGCACAGATAGAATATCAAAATAAGGAAGGAAGCAGACTTTCAGTGAAGTATTGTAATCATCAAAGTTCCCATATCCTCTTTTCTGAGTTTGTTAAATGTTTCCCTTAGCGGTGAGAATTAGTAGTGATATTTAGCCGGTTCGGGCCGGTTTGGGCGAACCCATAGTGGTGATGTGCGGGTGGGGTGGGGGTGCGCGGCAAACCAGTGGTAAACTTATGTGAAACCCACCTCTGGTGAGAATCAAGAGTGTTTAGTTTGCTAATGGAAAGGACTAAAATTATATGGCAGATGGAGCCCAGGTCTAGTTTGATATAAACACAGGAACTAAAGCAGAAAGCTTGCATTCCAATACTAAAAATAAGTCTGACAACTCACAATAGGCGGAGCATATTTTCAAATATCCCAGCATGTAAATTGCTGAGTGGGAATTTAGGATTAAAAATGCTTTTTTCCCCGCAGGCCCTGATGCTGCTGCTCAGGGGTTCCAGGGGCTACGGGATTGCTACAAACTGGGGAAACATCCTGGGAACAAATCTCCAAGCTTAGATCATGAAAAGATCTGGGCCTGATCAGACGAAAACAGTTGATCAAATCCTGTGGTCAAACTGAACGATTGTTCCTGCGAAGTATTTGTTCCCCTAAACAGAATGCCAGTAGATCCTTCCCATCATTTTCTTTTGGTGCACTCACTGGAGAAGAGCCTAATTCTGGGAAAGAGCCGAGGTAGCGCAGTGGTTAGAGTGCAGCACTGCAGGCTACTTCAGCTGACTGCAGTTCTGCAGTTCGGCTGTTCAAATCTCACCAGCTCAAGGTTG